CTCCGCGCCCACGCTGCGCGCGAACCCGGCCGTGAGCTCGGCCGCAAGCCGCCCTGTCCCTGGGGTCCCCCTCCGTCCCCCTGTGTGACACGGGAACATAAACACTGCAAAGCAGAGAAGAAGAAGAAAGAAGTGTGCACTGTCTGCAGCTCGCTCGAAAGTGGTTTAACGATAATGATAGATAAACTATAGGTACAGGTAGATATAATTATTAGTCGCATATAGAGTGATGGTGGGTGTGTGAGTTTTTTAGTCTATAGTTGCAGCTTTTCTTTAAGTGACAGATTATTTTAAAATTTAAAAAGGATTAAATTTGGAATGGAGTTTGCTCCATTGGAAAAAATAACAAATTAGCCATTTGACTAGTTTTTAAAGCGTAATCGATACTTCAACGTTTTAGTTCTCGCAGTATTTGTAAAAGTTTTTGTGAAGGAGTATGGAACCCATTTTAAAATGTAGTTATTAAGTAAAAGCCAATAAGAATGAGTACTCGTTAGAGGTAAATATCTCAGGAAAAATGATTGACTGACTTCCTGAATAAATTTAATGATTTGACTCTTTATTTTCATCCAGGCAGCCGTATATAAAAAGCCATTAAAGATCATTTTTGGAAGTAGGCAGGTTATAAATTATAAATGAAAAAAATGGAGCAAACTCCATGCCTGTCTGCAGCTGACAGTCCTGAGGGGAGCTCGCTCAGTGGGCTCACGGGGCGCGGTTCCGGTTCCGGTTGCGGTTCGGAGCTACGTGCAGTCCTGTCACAGCAGCACAGTGGGTCAGGCCTGCCCTGCCTGCGGCAGCACTGTCTAGTGGCGTTTCCTATGGCCGGATGAGCTGCTTCTGCAGGTGCCTCTCAGGAGACCCCTAGGGGAGGCCAGTGGGGGCTGCGGGCGACACCCCCTCTCCAGTGTGGCCTGCGCCCGCTTACACCCCTTACACAGCTCTCCCCCCGCCCCAGCTGCCTGACACCCGCGTGTCTCGTGTGCCACCTGGGACATCAAGATCCAGCATCATTTATAGAACAGCAGACGATTACATCTCATAGTAGAAGTGTAAACGGGACCGCCACTCACGACTTTACGTGCTGCGGTTAATATTTAGAGGGGGCGTGATAACCCACGGAGCACTCGCACACGCACCCCCATTTATTACTCTCATAGAAAGTAAATAAAGGTCACTTTCCTTTCTGAAACAGGCCAGGCCCCCCACTTTGCTCCGCCCCTCGCCCGCGCCGCATCAGTCGCCGAGCCGTTTGGGACAGTCATCACTCCTCAGCATTTGTGCAGATGAGCGGGATGGGCGCCCCGTTTCCCCCGCACACAGTAAAAAAAACGATTTCTGTCTGTCTCAATCATCTATCTGTCATGTATCATCTATCCAAGGGGTCGAATCTGCAAAGCTTTTTCGGACTTTATCCTTCTGCACACGCCAGCTGTGTTCTGCCCTCAAAAGACCCCGCCCCCCCAGAATCAGCCTCCCCCAGGAGGCCAGGGGACCAGGACTGAGGCACAGACCCCAAATCTGGGCTCCATCTTCCAAAGCAATTTCACACACGCGGGATGGGCCCGCGTGCACACGCACACGGGAAGGAGAGCCCATCGTGGTTTCCGTTCTACATGTCTTCCCAGTGACAATTTGGATACTGAAGGGCCAAAGATGTCACAATTACCGGATCAAGCACGTGCTCAAACCCATAGCGAAGCTCATAAACCCAGAGTCTCGGGAAGACCCCCCCAGGCAGATCCAGGGTGAAGGAGAAGATCTTAAAACGTTCCAGGGTGGAGACAACAGAACTCCACTTGCGCTTGCAACTGGATGTTTTATTGGGGTGTATCCTGCCTCTCCCTCCACTGGCCTTTCTCCCAACCTCCCTGAGGAGAGAGCCAGGTGTCCGTGCCCTGGGCAAACCCCTCCTCACTCTGGGCGCCCCGAAACCTCAGCTTCTGGAAGCAAAGATGGTGAAGGCTCGATGTGGAAGAGGCCAGAGTGACTGTCCGGAAGGAAGTGAGTGTCCCCCCGAACCAGCCCTCTCCAGGAGTTTAAGTCACGAGGCAGCACCTCGGGAAGAAAGCAGAAGCCCCACATGAGTAGAGAGACCTTCTCTCAGAGGCCGCAGGGGACCCTGGGACTGCTGGGATCCGCGAAATCGCAGGAGTTTGGGGGCGAGCGCATGCGGAGTAGGGCGAGGACCCCAGAGCTTGGGACTGCTCCCCGTCCTGGGGCTCGGAAGGGGTCCCGGGGGCAGTGCGGCCGAGTGTCCCCAGCTCTGCAGGGTTCCGAAGTGTACTAGAGCGTGTTTTGCACCCAGGCCTAGTGCGGGCCTTTGCAGACGTGGAAAGGCCGTGTGCGGGGTGAGGGCTGCGGGGGGTGGGGGGTGGGGGGCGCAGACGCGGACTTCGGGGAG